TCTTCACTTTCACTGAGCACTGAAGCGGAGATGGACGCTCGATGTAATCCACTGGGTCATCTCTTGCTACTTTTCCCACAAAATACTCAGAAACTGAAGTAGCAGCATGAGCTAGGGCTCTAAAGAGGAACAACGGGACTTTCTCGAGGTTGCATAAGCCTACTTTTTCGATAGGATAAGTGGGAAGAGAGTAACTTGGGGGTATTAGGGAAGATGGAAAAGGAAATGCTGATCGCCACAGGGTGCAAACAGAGCGAGCATGAACAACATCGAAACAGTTGTCTAGATGCTCGGAGATAACTTGAAGTAGCTCTTCAGGGCACTGAGTCCAGTCTGGTTTCATCGACGATGTCTTCTTTTTCGTTGGTCTTCCGACTGAGAACAGTTCTGCCATAGCTGTTGGTTGGTCCGATTTCGAAATCTGAAAATGTGAACAAACATGAACAGAGAAAATATTCACATAACAATTCTGAAATAACTATATAATCTTATTTTCTGCATGCATAACAAAGATTGAAAACAGAAAAGAGAATCAAATCCATTTCCAGAATTCGTATGCAAAGTGAGAGGGAGAGGTCGTACCAAAACCCTCACTCAGAAGTGTGAAACCCTAAAATCAGACAACCGAAAATGTAAAATGATTATTCCTAGATTTGAATATTGGGCAAGACCACCGATCCTAAGAAGAACCTAACCGAACCGAGGTTTGGTTAACTTGGTTTGGATTCGGTTTAACGGTGTAAACCGGCCAATTGGCTGAAAAGTAAAAAGAGTTCGGATTTCGGTGCAACTCGGTTTGGACTGAAAACCGGTTACAATCGGTTTCAAGGTTCCGGTTTGATTTCACATTTGAACATCTAAAATTCAAAAGCTTCCGGACCACAGAAGAGGGTTTTTAGTGAGATTTTAAACGTAGGAAAATAATTGATCAATGACGTGATTAAAATACAAATCAAAAAGTCTTTAGAGGTTGTTTGTGTAAAAATTATCAGAGACCATAAATTTTAACCTAAAATCAGAGGATAAGTTTGTTTGTGATCTAGTAACAACCAAAACCGACAAATGTCTCATGCATCCAAAAATGGCCGAGATTTACGGCTTAGCATTCAACCTGGAGACCCAGAACCGGAGATGTGTTGAGGATGGTCACACCATTCTCTCTTGAGCTTCTCCAACCATTCATGATTCCTTGTTCCACACTTCCTGTTTGTAGTCCATATTTATAGAACAAGGTTACATTTTTTACCTAAAAAACAATGGAAACAAGTTGTCTTTTGATCTAATAAAATAAAACCAATAGATGTCTAGTTATCCAAAGTAAGAATTTACCGCTCAGAGCTCAACCCGGAGAGCCAGCACCGGAGATGTGAGCCTCATCACACGATTATCTCCGACAGGCACCACGGTAGATGTATTAAGGATCGTCACACGATTCTCTCTCAATGTTCTCCAACAATTGAGTTCGTCCTCTTCTCGTCCTGTATCAACTCCATATTTATAGGCGTAAGTTACAGGGCCCATATTAGTGAACACAATTGAATTCCCACTCACACCACAACCATTAGGAAGCTCCTTCGCCGAGCATGAGACATTATCATAGTGTCCAATAAACAACACGCGGTCTCCTATATCACTGACCTCGACCCAGTTACCAGCCTCCTCATCTAGCATACTCACTCTACATGCGAATCGATTAAAATCTAGAACCTCAGCTTCAGGATATGGGTTGAAATGCTCAACCAGGAATAGTTCATCATCATCACCAGATCGAACCAGATGATTGCTTGGCCTCAGAGGATGAGAGGGCTTTAGGGGAGTCCCTATCAGCGTATAAGGATCGTAAACGAAAATGTCCTCATTAAGAAAGGTTGCATAAAATTTGCCTCTAAAGGCGACTAAATCCGAGCATGAAGCCTCTGAGACTTTCTTAACGCGCATCCATCTCATTTCTGCACTTCTTAAAACCAACAAAACTCTAGTGTAGTTTAGGAGCACAACGAATTCTCCTCCTACTCCTTTCTCCTTGTTAAGTGGAATAAAAGCCACGCCTCTGTTTTTTGTTGTCCATGATTCCGGTTCCCAACCGATCATTCTGTACTGATGGCCCAAAGGGAGGATCTGGCAGTTGTGCATGTTCATCGAGGTTGGCTCAGTTCTTGGGATGTTCACCTTTACTGAGCACTCAACAGGAGATGGAAGATCCATTTGATCCTCGGACTTATCTCGGCCTATTCCTCCCACCAGAAAATACTCAGAAGTCGATATAGCGGCAGTACCATGAGGAGTTTTGACTCTGAAGAGAAACAAAGGGATCTTCTGGAGGGTGTACAAGTCTTCGCTTACGTAAGGGAACTCGGCGAATGTGGGAAGAGAGTAACTTGGCCGTAATAAGGAAAAAGGGAAAGGTAATGTGGATCGCCACGAGCTGCAAACAGACCGAGCATGAAGAAGATCGAAACAGTCCTCCAGATAAGTCGAGATAATGTGCAGTAGCTCTTCGGGGAGTAGAGACCAGTCTGACATCATCGACGATAATGATGATGATGTCATCTTTTCCGTTACAGGTTCTGTCATGTCACGTACGGCTGCAATTTCAAACCTGAAAGACATTACAAATCTACGTTTTGTTATCACATATGAAAGAGCAACAAACACACTGAGGTAAAACCAAGAACAAATCTCAGTTTCAAACTTTGGTTTCTTGGCATTTGGATCAGAAACTCGTAACAATCATTTGGATCAGTCTGAAAGTGAAGAAACCACTTACTTGAGAGAACAAACAAACAAAAAATGAAAGAAAAAGTTGGTAATTAATCAACAACAAATGTTCACTCAACAAGGTCGGTCAAATGCAAAGGCGACAATTTTGTAGAATTAATCTAAGATCCCATTATGGAAATAAAAACCCAAAAGATTTCTCTAATAACCTAAACACAATTACTAGAAATTAGAACAAAACTGTACCTTTCCAATCCAAAGAATTGCGTTTGGAGAGTTTCGATCTCAACAATGAGAGGAGGTTACAGAAACATTTCTGGGGTTGTGACCGAAAGACAATACAGAATTTATCGGAGAAGAGATTTGAGTGTAGAAAAAAAATCAATTTACGGTAAATTTCGAGTTGGGAGATGGAGAAGAAACAAGTACGAGTTAGGCTAAAACAACTTGAATTAATCTAGGCAAAACAAAATTATATGAAAATATGAAAATTATATTCAAGTACCTGTTGGATTTGCAAGTTGAAAAGAATCCTTACGTTGTTGTTGTATTTATAGCATATGTAGTGATCTTCTAACAATAGTATTTGAATATTTTCTGGGTTTTTACTTTGAATTTTTCTTGATTGTGTAGAATTGGGTG